CAAGGATGTTTCATCTCATACTTGTCAAGGATGACTATGATCAAAAAGACACCAGATAAGTGTTGGCAAAGATGTGGAGGAAAGGGAACTCCTGTACATTGTTGGTGGGAATGTAAATTGGTACCACCATTATGGAAAACAGTATGAATCTGATCCACTTGTCTACATATATCCAAAGAAATAAAATAAACATTGTAAAGAGATTATCTGTACTCTCATGTCTATTGCAGCATTATTCAAAATAGCCAAGATAGGGAATTAACTTGAGTGTCTATCAGTAGATGAATGGACACACAAACACAATGGATTATTATCAAGACTTATGAAAGAAGAAAACCTTGTCATTTATGACAACATGGGTAAATCTGGAGGACATTATGGTAAATGAAAGGAATCAGGCAAAAAGACAAATATTTTATGATCTTTCTTCTATGTGGAACATATGGAAGTAAATCCTAGTGGAGCAGAGGTTAGAATGGAAGTTGCCAGTGGCTGGGGAATGGAGGAAATGGGGAGATGCTCCTCAAAGAGTATACAGTTTCAGTGATGCAGGTTGAGTATGTTCTGGAAGTCTAGTGTGCAGAATGGTGGCCAGTTAATGTAATGTATACCTGAAATTTGTTAAGAAAGTAAAAAAGAACTCCAACATAATGGATATGTTAATTAGCTTGATTGTCATAATAATTTCACAGTCTGTATGTATACAATAAAACATCACATTGTATACCCTAAATGTGTACATTTTTATTAGTTGATAAATCTGGAAAAATAAAATCAACTCAAATGAAAAAACTGAAGGACAAATTGGATATATGCTTTCTAAGTTTGAAACACTATCAGATCAAGGGCATTTTTACTATAAATCTCAGATTTGTCCCATGATATTTAAAGGAAAGTAGTTTACATACAAAAATAACTTGACTTCTTATTTTTTTAAATTTATTCTTGGTGGTGTTAGGGACCAAGCCCAAGTCTTCACACAGCTTGGCAAAAAAAAGTTCTACCAGTGAGCTGCTTCTCCACCCCCAGGCATGTCTTGTAGTTGGAGAGTTTTGTTTATTTGTTCATTTGGATTTAATGTTAATCTGTTTTCTCTGGTTTCTACTCTACATCCAAGAGTTTATGTGCTTTTTATTTTTTAGTGGGTCACTGCTTCTCTCACATGTATGCATTTTTTTCTGTAATGAAGTGTTATTAACCCATCCTGAAAAAATTACCAATATTAATGATAATAATGTTGATAAAAACAACAAAAGTTTGCCTTTTGCATATGTAGGATACATACTATTTTTCTCCTAGTGAACTTTCATTCTAAGCCCATCAACTCTGTATAGTAATAAAAGAATTGGCCCCATTGCTTTGTTTGTGAAAATTGAAATTTCAAGAGGACTTTCTCAGAATCTAATATTTGTCAGTGTCACACTCTAATGACACTGACTCCATGCTGGCATGGAGATTGTTTTCACTTAAGTTTCTAATGAAAAAAATACTGAAAATTTTATCATTGTAAACAATCCTTCAGTACTTTTATAAGACTATAATGTTTTTCTCTGTATTAGTGGATTAGGTTGTGTTTGGCTATATTATTGCACCCTTTTTCTCTTACTTTACTGTGGGTTTAAAAATATCTTTAATATAAGTCATGAAGGATACTGAAAATCATTTTTAATTTATATTTATATTAAAAGTAAATAATGAAACATCTGAGCTTAAAGCCCATGAGAACATCAGATTATTTTATTTTCCTCTTTTCATCTGTATTATATTAGAATGACTTAACTTTTGAAAATTTTGAAATAACTATAAAAGTCTTCTTTGTGGATGAATTGTTCAAAAAATCTTTGATTAAATATTGAAGTTAATTTCATTTGATTCACAATAACAAGCATTAGAAAAAAAACTAAGAAGGGACAGAATCTTTAAATCTTGTTTGCAAGATTTAGCTAGTCTTTACACCATCAATATCGTAATGATTATAATGCACCTTACATCAAAAAAATTCAGATTGAATCTGACTTTTCCCTCTGATTTTTAAGAGCATTTCATTATAGAAATTAGTTATAGAATACTAATTTCTTTTGAAAAGTGGATGTTATAATATAGTGCTGTTTGTTGTACAAAAATGATATTGATGACTGTAAATATATTATTGTCATTTTTTTGTTTATATCTGACTTCACTTATACCATCTCATTAATTAGAAAGCATTTTGGCTCATCTTTGATTAGCAATAAGTAAGATACTTATATCTCACAATGGTGACAAATGATTCATTTTTAAAGTTCGTTAAGCAGAATGCATATGTAGGCAAAAATCTCACTGACTAAGGAACAGACACCTAAACAATGAATGACAAGAATGAAAAGCAAGTCTGTGAAGATGGCAAAAGAAGCAAGTTAAGAAGGTGAATATGGGTGATGTGCTTTCTATGTGACAATGAATATAGAATTTTTAAGCCTTTTGAACTCATAATATGAAGAGGACTAAGGTAGAAAGGAGAAAAATAGAGAAGATGAACCAATTTGGAACGCAATACAAATATACCTGGAAATGTCATAATGAAACATTCTATAGATATCTTAAACACACAAATATGTCTTTTTTTTCTCAAACATGGAGAACAGGAGTGTAAATCAGGTCCTGTCTAGAGGGGTTGGTACCCACAGAAGGGGGAAGATACAAGGGAAGGGTGTAGGAGGGTGAATATGGTGGAAATAGTATGTACCCATGTATGAAAATGGAAAAATGAGATCTGTTGAAACTGTTCTAAGAATGGGGACAGAGGGGCTAAAGGAGTATGATAGAAGGGATAAATTTAACGAAGATATATTGAGAACACGTTTGTAAATGTCACAATGTACCCCTGGTACAATAATAATATAATTTTAAAAATTTTAAATTTTAATTTGAGATATCTTTTTCAAATGGATTTTCTTTACTGCCATTTTTAAGAGGTGTGAGTACAATTAAACCTCAAGCTGCCTGTGTGCAGTGAATGTGAGAGATAGCCACCTTTCCATTAAGTGTACGTTTCATCCCAATAATATGAGTAGGATAAACCACTATTGTCCTACAGAAAAATCTACTATGGATAATTTTGTGAACTTAGAATGTTTCTGAACAAAATTTAACAGCAAAAAGGCCACTGAGAACTGAGTATCCTTATCAAACAAGAATTAATTTTATTACATGCATTTCCCCAAAAAATAATTAGACCAAATATGTTTAATCCAAATATCACAAAAATGCTTAAGTTTGTCTTTTTGTTTCATAGTGGTATTTTATAATCTTCTTTAGACCTTTGACGATATTATTTTAAATTATAGGATATTGACATTTTTAAGCTATAATCTGTGGGGATGGTGTCAATATCTGGCTGAACATAAGGAACATGAGACCCAATTCTTGAAAATGTTTTTTCTTATGTAGTTAAAAATATTATATTAATTTATATAAGTAGCATTATAAAGTACATTAAAATATTCATTTTTATATTTAAATATTAAGTTTTTACTGAGTTTTAGGAAAAGTTTTTCAATTGCATTTTATTGCCTTAAAATGAATGTCACTGGGAGTGGGAAGAGGTGAGGAGAGGGTGTAAGAAAGTGAATATGGTGCAAATACTGTGTACACATGAATGTAAACTATCTCTCAAATGGGGAGAAAGGAGGATAAAGGAGAATGGTGGAGGGGCGAATTCATGTATGATGTATTTGATATATTGCAAGAACCTTGGCAAATGCCACAGTGTATTCCTACCCAGCACAATACAGTAAAATAAAATAATATAAAAAAAGAATGTCATTATAATCAGGAAATTTTTTCCACTTGTCTAGTGAAATTGTAGTTATAGTTTCTTCAGTATGTTGTTTGAAATGGGAGTGTGTCTTTCCTGTCAAATAATCCTTCTTACCCATCTTCTCTTTGATAATACCTTATGAACCAGGTTTTTTTGCTTCAGTAATACTTAACTTCTACTCCAAAATCATACTGTATTTAACCAAATCCTCCCCACCCCCCTTCCAGGCAGAACCTGTTCTGTGCTTTTCTCCAGTTCCATTGAAGAGTAGAAATAAGCAATAATAAGAAAGACATAGCATTTTTGCTAGTTGAGATAAGGACAGCTATACAGAGAGATTCTTAGCATTGCTTTGTTATACAAATGTGTTACAACTCCTCCTCCTCCTCCTCCTCCTCCACTTCCTCCTCCTCCTCTCTAACTGATCTTTACATTGGTTCCTGATCCCCTTCTCATGTTGACCTCTATCACTTTAAGGTTTTTGTATTAATTCCTCTGGAGTGGGGACATAAAATGCTCTCATGTTTTGGGTTTTCTATCTAACTCCACACCTCCTGCATATGTTCTCCTTTTGTCATGTAACCCAAGTCCTACAACATTGCTGTATTTGCCCTAGATGTAAAGTCCGCATATGAGGGAGAACATATGATTTTTGGTCTTCTGAGTCTGCTTAACCTTGCTCAGAATGGTGTTCTCCAGTTCCATCCCTTTACTTGCAAATGATAAGACTTTATTCTTCTTCGTGGCTGAGTAAAATTCCATTGTGTATAAATACCACATTTTCTTGATCCATTCATCAGTAGTGGGGCATCTTAGTTGTTTCCATAACTTGGCTATTGTGAATAGCTCTGCAATAAACATGGGTGTGCAGGTGCCTTTGGAGTAACCTGTGTCGCAATCCTTTGGGTATATCCACAGGAGTGGGATTGCATTCCCATTAGCAGTGTATGAGGGTTCCTTTTTCCCCACATTCTCGCCAACACATGTTGTTGGGGGTGTTTTTGATGATGGCTTGAGTAGATTTATTTTTATGTCTAGTTTTTAAAAGTTCATGACAGATGTTTCTTTAATGAGTCTAAATCGCTAAGTCAACCAAAATCTTGTTTAAATCCATATAACTGGAAACAAAGTGTTGATGTAAATAATAATTTAACATTGCAATAAACTTAGTTTTTCTTCATCTCTTTTCTTTTAATTTCAGATGCAATAACAGAACCCAGTGTGCAGTGGTGGCAGGTCCTGATGTTTTTCCAGACCCGTGTCCAGGAACCTACAAATACCTTGAAGTGCAGTATGAATGTGTCCCTTACAGTATGTATATTCATGTACTTTTCTTATAAGAAAAAAGATATTTAGCTCTGCTTTGCATGCATTGACAAAATATGCTCTGAGAAAACCATAAAAGTAATCACATAAATCCAAAAATGAGGAATGAATTTTAATTCTGAGGATCATACACCCTCCCCACCATTGGCAACATTACATACTGCATGCATGTCCCAACAGCATTTAAGTTTGGGGATACATTTTATACATGAATACCTATTTTAAGACTCTTTTCTTAATTCAAAAACTAAATATTTACAAAAAAGGTTAAGGAGATGTGCAATCCTGCATCCCTCCAGGTGTAAGCAAATAGGAAATTTTACACTTGTACATATAATAGCATTGATGTTGAATGTGACATTTGAATGTGATTGGAGCAATTATATCCAAGTTTCATGTGCTGTCAGCCTTTTGAGAATCAGAAATTTATTCATCCAGAGGGAACAGACTGGTAAGAAAATACAAAGCTTATGTGAGCTAAAGAACTCTTCAGAGTATGTTTTTTAAATCCCCAGAAGTTTGTCTTTGCAACCTTTATATCAGATAATATAGGCCAGTGATGTATTTTTTTCTTCAGGAATAATGAAGAATCAAGTAATCTAAAATGGAGCATTTTCTGACTTTTCTACCAAAGGGAGACTCACCATCTCAAAAAAAAAAAAGGTTTTTTGATCTAGCTAGTTAATTATTCATGGGATTTCTTAGTGAAAATCACTCAGGAAATCCTATATTCTTGTATTAGATATTCAGCTCATCCCACAGATAGAAACCCCTGGGATCATAAGCAAATCCCAGGTTTCAGCTTCCTCTGATGTCTCAGAAGGAGCGGACTATCTGGGGATCAACAGGTTTCATGTGCCAAGAGATAGTTCTGAATTTTGCCTCATTCATGCACATTACTCATGACCTGGAAGCGTTGCAGACTTCAAAAATAGAGAGAAATTTGGCCAAGAAAAAATAATTGAAATTTAAGAATAATATTGAAAGCAATCAAAAGAAAATTTCATGTTTTGCCTTATAGTGTGATTGGTTGTGAAAGTTTATGTAGTAAAGTTTCATATACTGGTCTTTATTTTGAAAAATTTAAGTGTGTAGGTTTTATTGAAATCTCAATTATATTATCTTTCTTACGTTGTTATTTCTACAGGCTCTTCTAAGAAAAATATAAAGCCCATACTAACAATTTACTGTTCACTACTGATATCTTCAAGAAATAAAATTCACAGGCCATCCTGGCATTTGGACAATTATTCCTGGGTTGCATAATAATGTCTTTGTGGAATATATAGAATCCTGTTTTAGAATGGCATTTTATAAAAATATACAATAAAGTAGACTTCACTTTTAAAGGTAGTTTTAGAAAACTTACTTTCTACTTTGGTTTTCATATTTTGAAACATGAAAGTGGAAATAAAATGTCCAGTTATAGATTTTATCATAATTTTCAAAAAGTAAAAAACTTCACAACTGCCTCTTCAATTTTGAGGATCACTATTCCAAAATGCTCTGCCAAATTTGTTTTGAAATACCATCCACTTAATTCACTTGCTCATACACTTTTGCATAAAAATATCATAGTATACTACATATTTTCTTTTTCATAAATTTTCAGAGATGGGCAAATGGATTCCTTAAGATCCTATATTTGGAGGTTTCTGATAATCCTGAAACTTTACTGACTGCCTTAGAGTTTGTTCCTTATATTATTAAAATTTTTACTGATAGTTCCATTAAATAAGAGTTATAAATTTAGATATACCCATTAGCTACTTTATACATTGGTTTAATTAATAACATAGCTTGATCATGTTTGTTTAAATTATGTTCAGTATGTTTCAGTTAAAAGTGCATTGCGGAATTGGGATTCATTTAAGTTAAAATGGTTTAAAAATAATACAAAAGAAAATGTAAAACAATCATGACTCATTGACAAGTTGGATTGTTTAGTAGAAAGACAAACAGAGGTCAAGTAGCATGATTCCTTACCAAAAAGGCTGGGCTCCTTAGTCCAACTAAACTATTATAATTTTCTAGATCTCACTCTGCTGATTTTCTCTGATCTAGTAATAACTCTTGATTTAGATCAATCTCCCACTATTTTTCTGTTCCTTAAGCATAAAATGCATGAGTTCTCCAGTGTTGAAAAGATTCCCTTACTTAAAAGCCTTGTAATTGACTGGCATTTCATGCTGTTTACTCCACTGATTAAAATGTTCACACTCACTAGTTTCTTCAGTTCCTAATACCCTGGCAGGTGTGAATATCACTGCTTTACTGAAAAAGAATCTGAAGTTTTGGCAGGTTGACACAGGTACCATGTAGAATATAGACTCTAGAGGATGGCAGAACCAAGGTTTTCATCTGCTTCCATTCTTTGCTCTTAAGGACTAGCTGTTTCTCTCCCCATATTTTCATAAGTTATTTTAATCTTGTTCAGTATTTAACTTCATAATCTCCATCAGTATGGCAGTGGGATGTGGTGAACGCAAGTGCTTCAAGAGTCCAGGTCTTTTAGATATTGATTAAGAAGTTTGTGTGCCTTTATTTACAGCAGCTGAATCAGTGAAAACATTTGTTTTTTCAAACACTTCATGAAGTTTTACAGCTTAAACTGGCTATGCCATTAAAATGCTGCCTACAACTTACAATCAGCCTCTTATCTAAGTAGTAAATTAGGAGGTCATTTTTAATTATCTGTATTAATGAAATTCCTGTACTTTGTGAGTTCTTTTTGATTCTTGCTAAGAGACTCCTACTGCATTAATATGCATACTCCAGATTTAGAAATTATTTGTATTTGAAATTTTTTTCATTCAACTATTAAATAAATGAACCCAATAATATTATTATGCTTGTTTTTCAAGAGTAATATCCATTTCCAGTTTGGATCTTAAGACCACAAACCATAGAATATATAGCGCAGTCATAACGATGGCATAATGATGTCTTGATGAATGACAGATCACATGTATGGCTGTGGTCTTGGAAGATCAGTGTGGGACTGAAAAATTTCTCCTGTCTAGTGCCTCTACTGTACCTTTTCAGTGTTTTCATATACAAATGCTATTGTTTTGTTTCAGTTACATACAGTGTTCAGTAAAGAAGCATGCTACAGGTTTATATCCCAGCAGTAATAAATGATGCCATATAAAGGTGTCATAGGTGATACCTCCTAGGTTTGTACAGTTTCCCATTTTGATGTTTGCATAGTGACAAAATCACTTGAGACATTTCTCAGGACATATCACCACTGTTAAGTGACACTTAAGTGTATTTGGTGTTTTTAAATATTTCCTTAATGATATGTACAAATACTATCGATATTTCTTTCTCTATACACATTCTGTATGTGTTTCCTTAGCAATATTGATTTTTAAGGCAATATTATTTTTGTGGGAAAATGCAAAGAAGCAAAAAAAGTTAGGAAAATATGTCTATAATAATGAAGCATATTAGAGGTAATATGGATAAAAATTCAACAAAGTTCTTTGTCTTGTATGAAAGAAGCAAAATATTCAAGGAAGTTTCACAATGCTGGGGATTAAACCCTGTTCCTTGCACATACTAGGTGAGTGCTATACCACTGAGCTATGTCATCAGCCCAACTTTTAATAATTTTTGCACAGAATTTTAGGAATCAGTAAATGGCTACATAATTGAACAATGACAATTTTAGAAAAAAGCTTACCTTGAATGAATCAAACGATATGGTTTTCTTTTGGAACATGTTGGCAAAAAGAAAATAAATTAGTGATTGCAAATGAAGGCAATCTAGATAGACTTCTTTGAGTGTCTTGTACTCATTTTTTCAGAATCACTAAAGCTGTATTTAACATTGTCTAAGTCTTCTTACTTCTGTTCTTATTTTCTTGACTGTTCACAGATACTCCATTTCTAATAAAATTTAGTACAGATGAATCAATACTTGTCTCTGTTCTTGTCATGCCTTAGTTCCATTGTGACTTTTATAGCCTCTGTGTTTTCTTTTGAGGTTTGATTTTCTTCCTTAGTGGATATTTTCTTCCCAGGAAATGACCCAAATATTCAAGAGGTTAAACCTCACCACTTACCAACACCACATCATTGTTCTTCCATCCTCTTCTCCCACCCCCATCACTTCTGACCTGATTTGAGATTGAAATTATAGCATCTTCAAGAACTGCTGCCTTCATTTAGTCAGGTTACAGAGATTTGTGTTGAGAGAAAACAATAAAACAACCAACCACCACCTACTTAGACTATTCTGAGCAAAGAATCTTTACTTTGTATCCTGCTGACAGACAGTGTTTCTTTCAAGGCATACAATTTCACACACATTATGCCCCTCACAGTCTGGCTGTTCTCTTCAGTTCTTTGTCTCTTCCTTTCCAAAACACAAAGCACATATTACTTATTCAACCTTCTCTCATGGTGAATTTTCTTAAGAAATTGAGGGGGGGGAGTACACAATTTGGAGAGCTCCCAGAAATGAGTGTTTGATTAAGCCAGTCTTATAGCACTTAAGACTTTCTCACTATTCACATTAGCTATCTTAATAGTTACACTGGTGATTTACAAAAGAACATGAGAAGTGACTATTACTAGAGAATTAATATTTACAAATGATTACATACATTTTGAGTTTTGTCTTTTTTGCAATAAGAAAATTCATTACACTTTTAGATTAAAACTTTGTCTTTAAGCATTTAAGTTTAAGTAATTAAGTACACTTTGAAACTAATGTTCAAATCCATGCATATTTTTATATGCATATACTTGATTCCTATTATGTTAATAAGTAATAGCATATTTTTAAACTCACTACTGAAATTAATTGATATTTTAATTTTTAAAAAGATAGAAATACCAACATATTTTAATATCCAGTGCCTCAGTGCCTGCCTGACATGCAAGAGACATTCAATAAATATGCACTGAATGATTGAAAAAAAAAATTAGACAAATGGATACTCCAGAATAACTATGCTTATTGTTAAAAGAATGAA